ATTAGGTGGAAATACAGATTTCATATTACAAGACCACAATTTTATATCAAATGCCTTACCTAATGCACAAGAGTGGCTTAGTGTAGAGGGTGTTAAAACTCAAAAATGGCCGACAATAGCACATGACTTGAACATAATGGAAAATATCTGGGGTTGGTTAATACGTGAGGTGTATGATGGCGGACGAAAGTTTTCACGTAAAGATGATCTAATATTTCGCATACGCGAAGCTTGGGCACGTCTACCTCTGGATTTAATTTCAAATTTATATAGCACGTTACCAGAACGTGTAACAGAACTATATTATACACGGGGAATTTACACAAATTGTTGACGTTCATTGGGGCAATATATGTTTTGGTCACAAACCAAAAAAGTGATTTCTAAAGCAAGTAAACAACTGAAGCAACGAATCTTTTCAGCAGTAGTTTGGAGGTTAATGGGATTTTTTTATCTATTGTCTGTATAACTTATTTTACGACGACTTCATTGTTCCGTTCCGAACCTACACATGAATTTCAATGGAATAATTAACAAAGTAATTCAATATAATAAATAAGTTCTCTTGAAGATCACCAATTCAATTATTTGCTTTGAAAGAAAATTTTAAGCATAAAGCACCACAATTCAACGTAAATCAAAAATAATCTTCAAAACGAAACATTCAATGAATAAAGACTGACTGCGTTGATTTGATTTTAGTTACATGAATTCTAAATACATAAGCATATACATTCATCTTAGCTCTCTTATATTAATAGATCCATGTTAAACTTTTTAAGTTTCCTACTAAACTTCTGGTTTATATATTTTAATAGTATCTAATTATTTATGTTGGTAGTCACACCCACGTTAGAGATCTCTTTCTCTAACTTCTTTTGAAAAAAGAATTTGAGTGTTGTCTACAATCCTGACTAACTTTTCTTTCGATTTTTACTTTATCTCCAAATAAAATGCTATAGATTCATTGAGACCTGGGAACTTGAATCTGCTACAACACTCTATCAATTTATGTGTAGCTTTAAGATATGTAAAAACAAAAACTCCAAGATAATTAAAATTGTAAAATTATTTTTAAGTTTTAGTTAGTGTTATTGTAGAAACATATTATTTAACATAAAATTCAAAAAAATCTTATCAAAAAGAAAAGATTACAAAAAATTATTAAAAGAATACAAAAAGAGAAGATTTTGTAATATATAATAGCAATCCTGAAATGAATTAAAATTTTTTAATTGTTTGTTTAGTTTTTGGTAAATATATAATTAGCATATATATATAATTTAATCTACTATTATTTTGTTTTTAATTTTTTTTTATATATTTTTGTTACTCAAATTTGTTTTATTTTGTTGCATATAAAACAACTAAAGTATTATTTTTAAGAAAAATATAATAAACAAAATACGTAATAGTTTATACTAAATTTAATATTGAAAATAACTGAAATAAATTAACAAAATTATTTAAAATTAAAAACTACATAAACGTCTTCACTTCCCATTAATAATCTTCATCAAGTGGCCAGAAAATGTGGCTAAAAAATATAAGCTTAAATGATGAATTAGAGCTGTTCGCATTATACGAAATATTTTATATTTGAATTTTACGGCGATGCCTGAATTTGTAGCAAGTTATTCCTCCTTATTTCCTCATGTTTGAAAGATTCGAAAACGAACAGGTCTACTAGAAAAATATTTCTTAATACATACAATAAAAAAGAACTCACTAGTCTCTGATGTATATAATACATATTGTTTGTTTTTTACAAAAGGTACACAAAATCGGATATACACTTTCCTTTGACTTCTGATGAAATATAGTTTTAGATATGTTTGAATGTATTAACAATGTGCATACCTCTTTGGTTTATATTTATTGGACCAAGAAGGATATTAAGAAGATAGTTATTATTAAACTTATACTTATAGGCTGCTTAAAAGTTTTTAAAAGACATCATGGTATTAATTTCCATTTTTGTGTTTAAGAACCCTTAATACAGAGTTTTTCTACAATAATGTTGTTTTTGTCTCTATTATATATTTTTGAATTAGTTGATCTGATTTAATTGCAAAAACGAACTGATCTAGAATGCAGTTTTGTAAAGACTGCTTTAAAAGGCATTTTTAAAAGAATTTTTTAAAAAGACCTTCACGATAGACCGGCGTAAAAGAATTGATCCAAAAATGCTTTATAGAAGAATTAAATTAAAAACTCTTTCTGCACTGTGTTGGCTTATTAATTAATAAGGTTTCCCAATTAAATTCTTTTATAGTTTATTTCTGTTAGTTCATACTTCCACATAACCGCTTGTGGAACGCAGGATAGAGTTGGACGATTGGCAGTTAGATACCCTATGCAGTATCGATTCCCTCCTCATCTTCAGTATGTGCTGATATTTACATACGTAAATATAACTAAATACGTATGTGAAGTAAAAGAGCTTGTTTCATAATTGATATGAATACAATTTAGTGATGTGATTTTGCGACATATAAGTTAACAACTTTCTGCTAATATAAATTAGGTACAAAAAAAGCAGCTATATAATATTAATATATACAACTAACAACATGTATCAATTCAAGAGAGATGTTCAACCCTCCGAGCTTGGTTCCTTAATGAACAGAGACTTATCAGCAAATCAACTTTTATACTACTATTTGCATGAGGCATCTCAATAAAATTATTCGATCTGTTTGCTTATTTTGTTGAGTGCATGATGTTTAAAAAAACATATCGTTTATGTGGTGATGAAAGTGCCCAGCTATAGTGGAACCTTTTAATTCAATGTTTTCATCATTGTAATGTTTTATTTAGACATTTAGATTAATCGTCTTGGGGCCTAAAACTGTTGAAATACTATACGATGAAAAGTATTAAATTTTATATCATCGACTATTCTCATTTCTAGAACTTCGTTGGTCTAAGATATTGTGCATCGAAAAACTATTTTATAAATGCGCTACTTCTTTTCACGCAGATAGAAAAGTAGCAGCTGTACAATACATCAATATCAATACAACTAACATCATGTATTAAGGAGAAATTTAGCTTTTCAAGCTTAGTTTCTTAATGGATAGAGAGCTATCAGCAAACCCACTGTTAGATTACTATAGCCATAAGGTATCTTAATAAAATTGATAGATTTTTTTCTGTTTAATAGAGCCCGACTTATGCGCAGATAATGTAACGTTCCCATATTACTGATACTTTCTATTATTACCGTTAAAACTGTATATTCCTGACAGTATATATAATATGCAATATCACTTGCCATGAATTTCAATTTCAATTGATTGTTTTTATTTAATTTAAGATTGACCATTCTATATTCTATGAATCAATGAGAGTTTGATAATAACTCATCCTATCTATATAAAAATATCGAAAGACTAATACTGTAAAATCTCATTGGGAAACGAAATCTGTTTATGCCTAATTGTAAAAAAAGGATTTTAATTTCTAATATAGCAACTCGTATCTCATTATATTGTCGTTCCACCGTCTTAACGAATAGTGAAATTCCTATGTTAATCTTGACGGATATCACTCATCATAGACGAGTAGCTACGATACATATTTGTGCATTTATATTTATATTTGGCAACATAATAATGCTGAAATATGCTTAGGACTCACTTTTCGCAGGATAATAGTCTGCTGCAATACAGTTTAAGAGTATCCTAAACTTTGTTAAAAATTCCAGATGTTTTAAATTCTAGTTCTTAACAGTAGAAGTCCAAATGGCTTCCTGAGTTCGCCATTATAACCTTACCTTATCTAAAATTTGAGTATTTGATTTTATATAGCTATGTTTTATCAGAACTCTATATGTTCGAGCAATAATTTTTTCTCTATTATTGTATGTATTGGTTGGTGTAAAAAGAAGTATGATTTTTTAATGATAAAAGTTCCTTAGGAAACAATTCAATAAGTTTTTACTTAACGAATATTCTAACATTTGTGAACAGGTTCCTGTCAATGAAAGAAAATTAATAACACCTTAAAAAACTCATTGCTTATTACAAAAATTACCTGAAATGGAGCACATAAATAAAATTTAGATATTTAAAATAAGAAAAGGGAAAATTAATGATACTCTAACAAATTAGTCTTAAGCTTGAATCTATATAGAAAATAATAAATATCTACAAAACATAATATTTGTAATATGCGATAGGAAATATGTGATTTTTGGCTTATGAAAATTTCAAATTTCGTAACAAATACATACATTTATGTATACATACTACTTATAAATAATAAAACAATACAAAATTCTATTCAAATAAAACTATTTGTTTTCATTTTCGTTTATTGTTCGTTGCAAATATTGTATTATATATAAAAAAAATAATAGATCTCAAGACTAAACAGAACAGAATCCACTGATAGTGTGGTATATAAGATATAAGAGCACTTAATTAACATTACATTTGAACACAATACATACATATGTAAGTTTAAGATACAAATAATGTAAAAATTTTATTAACAGTGCTTATTACGTGATAAAAGCTAAAAATGAAAGTCGTAAAACTACACTAGAGCACAATTCAGTTTAGAATGAGAAAAATTAAATAACACAAATATTTGATACTACGATCGTTCTACAAACTTGATTAGAAATACAAAAGTATTTCTAGGAATGTATAAAAAAATGATAAAAAATTTTAAATAAAACATCAAATTCTAAAAATTTTATGCAATATATTAATACACGCAAAAGTGTAGAAGTCTAAACACAACTATAGCTTAGATATGCCTTGTGCTAAATGTTTCGACATATGGCAAAAAATTTTTATTTCACTGTAATTTAATGCCAAGTTACTTGATGCGACATATGACATCTTCTCGCCAATGAATTTGTCGTTTTTTTGAACTAGAAGACAATATTTTGATCTTCACAATCGTTTGTGAAAAATTACCCAGACTACATTAACAAGCTTTTGGCAAATTTCGAGTAATAGTGTAAGTGTAAGAAAATATCGAGAGTATACGCAATAATATTCCAAACATTGTTATTGTAACCATAAATACTGAATACATTCTAGAAATATTAAATTCGCACATGGTAACATGGTACGAACTAAATGGAAAGTACAGTGTCACAACTATCTGCTATGTCGCATGTTACAGCAAAATGTGTGTGACATTAATTTTGTGATTACTTCAAATTACGTTTCAAGAATAAAGTTGCAGAATATTAAAAATTAGTATAGACTTTTAAAAAAAAAGTTGTGCTATAAAAAACTAATTTTAAAACAATACTGTTATAATGACTTATGTTCTAATTGTGCGTAATAAAATATATAAAAAAAATAAGCACAAAAAATTAATTAGAAATGCAAGCTTTTAAGCAATTTGGACTACAAAATGGTTTATCTTGTGACGCTACAAAACGTGCACCAAGCAAGGATTTCCCGCAATTTACATTTGCACATTTAAAACACTGTTCATGCCAACGTAAATCGTTTTTCCAGCCTACACCCTTTTCAGTAGCACCAATAGCTTTTTGGCAACTCTCGCAAACCACAGCAAAATATGCTTTATAGCATTCTAAGCAAATGGGCATATTCGTTTTATCATCAGGAACGTACTGCTCTCCAGCAAGTGGCTTATCGCATTGATAACAACAGAAGTGTTTAATATGGTATGTGCTATTTTCAGCTGCTGTATATTCCTTAGTGAATATTAACTCATCACATGCTTTGCAACGAGGAATTTTTAACTTAATGGCTAAGTCACGTCCACAGTACACTTGACCACCATGAAAGAAGTATACTAAATCAGCTAAAAGTTCGCGACATGTATAGCATTTAAAACAGTTAGGATGCCAAGCAATTTCTCTGCCTGCACGAGCCGCTTTAACAGCAACATCCCCAAATTTAATAGCTTCATCACAATCACGACATTTCATTTCTGGTACTTGAGTTTGATTTAAACCTGAAATTAAAAACGTATTAAATACACATATTATACATATTATTACAATATGCTTAATTAACCTATTTCGTTGTCTGGAAAATTTTTACTTAGATGCATATTTTGCAACATATTTGGTAATGTTACACCGGCCTCCACTGTTGGATACATATTCATGTCTTCAATACCAGGTATGGACTTAAAAATTCCTGAATTAGCATTGATTTCATTATCTGGAGAATTAATAATACTGCCTTGTGGTGTAGTTGATTTAGAATCGAATCCAGAATCATTGCTGCCTGATGCTTTAAGTGCGTCCCGAAAACTATTTGTTTGATTTCCGTAAGCAATTTGTTTACCAAATGGCATATTTTCTATAAAATTTCGAACTTCTCCATATAATTTTGGATCGGTGTGTAAAAGCTGATGAAGTTGATGAAGCGGCATTAAAAGTTCACAATCGTTATACACAATATCTTTTTCATCAAGTACATTAAACAATCGTTCGTAATATGGAGCATTTAAAAAAACACTTTGTACTGCTGTTTTGTCAACTCCTATCGCACTTAATTTATTTTTCGTTGGCAAACTAAGGGCGGATTCATTAGAAAAATTTGGTATTAATGGTGATTGCGAAATAACCATAGGAACCATTGACTTGCCCACTCGATTACTTTCAAGTAGCACTTTTAGTGGTGTCGCGTTTATAATTTTTGCGAATATCGGGTCTTTTTCATAGTCCACATAGTCTGGTAAATCACAATAGTTTATAACAGGAGAAACACCACCAAATTTAACTTTTCTTAGAGGTGTGTCTTGTCGCATTTGAGCACTTATTCGAGTTTGTACAGGACATTTTAATGGAAGTGGTGAATTAAACAAGTTATTCAGTTTTGCAGTATTTTGATTTGGCTCTTCTAATTTACTACAAATTGCATTCATTTCATTTTTAAATGCTGGATTTTGTAGATATTCTTTGCGGAAATTCTTAATAGGATTCAGCCTGGGATCATAACTCACTTCTATATTTTTGTCCTATTTCAAAAGTACATTAATATATCATTTGATTGAAGTTTATATTATATACCTGTAATGCAGCCAGAACTTTATCATAAATAGCTCCATTTTTTACCAAACTGCATACTGCACTTTTATTGAGACCAGAAAGTTTTTGTTTTGTTTGAGCTGAAATCAAAGGTTCGTTTTCGAAATCGGCAGATGTTTCACATATTGGCGTTTGAAAAACAATAAGATGATTTTTTAAGATAGATGGACTTTCATTGGCAATTGCATTCTTCAATTTGTCTGATGCTAACAGTTCACTCAGAATCACATCGCAATCTGGTACTTCAGCTAATATATGCTGAAAATGTTTATGTGAAGACAGATCTTCCGACTGTGATGCAACTGCCTGTGGCATGTGCGTCACAAATCCTTGATTCAAAACACCTATACGTACAACGTTACCTTGACCGACACAATTTTCACGAATTTTTTGAACATATTGCTGTAATTGCTTAGTCTCTCCATCAGTAAGATTATCGCAAAGTGCCGCATCGAGATCATGTGGTGGTACTTGATATTCGAGTTGCTGCTTACGTTTAACTGCAGCATAACTTCCCGCTACCGGTATCTTTGCAGAGCCAAGCTTCTCCATATAATCTGATACTATATCTGGTTTTGTATTGGGTGGCACCCAATCCAAATGAAGTGGTTGACTTGCAAGTGCTTTAATTTTAATAACTGAAAGAAAATACTCTATTGAATTGAACATATTATTTAAAATTTTATAATACATGCTGGTTTCGAACGGATTTGTCCCAAAATTTCAAACTGTGCCCAGCCAGAAAAGTTGTCGTCGCCACACATATGCTGATCCTTTCGGCATTTACAGTTCCGACACACTTTTCTCCAAAAATGCAAATCTAATCCGGGACATTTATCGCCGCATTCATTACATTTAGAACCAGCTCCCGCTTCATGTCCTAATTTTGATTGCTTAAGTTTTTCTCGCCGATCTTCTAATTTAAGCAACCAGTCCGGTGCCGCTGGTGTCTCTACACAAGAACTGTTGTCCATACTTTGTTCGAATTGCTCTTAACACTTTTGAAATACAGCGTTTGTATTTTAACTATGAATCATAACTTTCAACCCTTATAATTAACTTAATCATTTATATGACAAATAAAAAAAAGAAAATCATGCAAAAATATATAACGTAAAATGAACGCAAACAAAATGTTGATTTGTCAAAATAATATTTTAATGAGTCTTGTAGTCCAAAAAAAAAACGATTATTTACTTGTCATATTGTTATCGAATCTAATTGAAACATGGTTGTATTTTAAACACTTATGTTGCAATAACCATATCAAAGTGTGCACTTCTATTATAGCTACTTATATATAATAAAAATATAAGCAATAGCATGTCTGGCTCAAATTTTTATCAACTGATTCTGTTGTTCTTTCAACTTAGTTTTAATTGTAATATAAATAAAAAAAATGTCGAGCGGAGAGTAGATACAATTATTTGTTAATTAAATTTAATTATGTAAATAAAATGATTAAATTAAATAACTGATTTTGTTTTTCTTTTTATAGATTTACGTTTGAATAAGTTTACCTAGTTAACAATTTAAAATTTATTTTTTTATAGAAGAGGATCGAGGTCTAAAATTAATGAAGGCCTTAATGTTTAAAGACCCTAAAGTTCTTTATATAAAATTCACAGTCAACATTTATACTCGCTGCACAAGTGTTAATAGTTTATAATCATTTTAATATTGTTCAATTTATGTTAGTTTGTTGATATTATACAAATGTTAGTAGTTTGAGAGATATGGAATTGTTTATGAGTATTATCATTTTAAGAGTGCTTAATTTCATAAAATATGTTACAGCCTTATATATTGAATTTTAGTTGGCGAAATATTATAACATAATGCATAATGAATTTACACTATGAACTTTAGCTTTAACAGTTATACTATTAAGGCTATAGTTATGGGTTTTTAATTTCAGATTTGTTGTTGTATTGTACTGCATATATTTATTATATGGATTTCTAAATAAATAATCTTAATGGCAGCTATTAAATAACGTTTTTCTTTTAATAAATTTGCTTCGTTCCAAGCTCAGTATTAGTTTTCGTTATTTATATCATTATTAACACTTCACATTTAGAAAATCTCAATTAGCTATAACTGCACAATTAAAAGTAAGTTTTTACACCATGCCAACTTAATAAAGGAACAATGAGATAAAATTATAAGAACTATATTTATGTAATATAATTTAATTAATTTTTTTCTTTATTATCTTAATTAATTAAATTTTTGGCTAACCATACAACTGTTTCGAGTATTGCCAAATACCCATCATCAGTAGTCTTGGAAATAATTCTTGTATTTAATTATTCATAAATAATTTTTTGAGATTGCACTTACCAGGAATCGAACTAGTGGCGTGCCAAATTTGAAGCTAAGAGTCAGCGCTCCTTAACCAGCTGACCCAAAACCGGGTCAGTTGTGAAAGTTTTATTAACAAATTCACTTCCTGTGTTTATATTAGAACGAAATCATAAACGAGCTGTATGTATGTTTTTATTTTTAAGTGTTTATTATAAGATAAGTGTGGTTTTGTTTCAATTATCTCTTCTCGTATGAGGAATGTCATCAATTGTTACCTAATTACCGGAGGATATAGTTAAATGCGATAATCAAGAGAGTGTAAACGTATAGCAGTATTAAAAGTAAAAGCCAGGTTCATAAATAAATAATCCAACAAAATCTGATTTAATTATTTAAAACATTTTAATATACCCTGTTGTAACACAATTAAAGAGTCATTAGAAATATAAAAACGTGTAAATGTAACAGTATTCTTGATAAACGATTTAACAAATTTTATAGTAGTAGTAAGTTCTTTTATTTTCGATTATTAAGTTATGATATATTAACAGCAATTTTAACTTTTATTTTATTATACATTTTAATAATGTGTAACATAAGAACTACAGATTATTTAAGACAATAACTATTAAGTTGTCTGTCTATAACTATTAAGTTTAAACGCCAATCGAACATAGTGTAAAAATACGTAATAATAAATAATATAATGCTATAATGACAAGAAAATTCAAAAATTCAGTCAATTCAGAAAAAACAATAAAAAGATTTGAGTATAATATAATTATGTGATTATAGTATACGTTAATTTATTATAATTATATAGTAATAACAAAAAATAAAAGAATATATTAATAATGAATTAACTGAAATAGCATAAACGTACTAAAAACATAAACAATAAACGTCAGTATTCTTGATAAATGATTTGACATGGTTATACATGAGCAAATATTAAAACACATATGAAATTTACTAATTTCAAATTATTTTATTTCTTTTTTTAACCATTAAAAAGTAAACTTTGCTGAACATTTTTTCATATTGTCATATTGTTTTATTTTATTGAAACCTAAAAGCGTATTCAAACAACACAAATAATTGTTAACTTGATTGTATTTTTACTCTTTTAGTTCGTTCGATTGATACTGTCATAAAATCAAATTAAAACTACAATCGGATTACATACTTAAATTCATTTCGCACGAAAAATTGACAAAAAATTCCATACAAACAAAATGTTCTGCAATGTTAAAATTTTGTAGAAACTTTTGTATATATAGTTATTTATATCAATTGTTCGTTTGAAATGTATGTTAGTACTAGGTTTAAACTTAAAACATTGAAACTAACACCAAATGTGGTGGTCTATATGAGATATAAATTTTGATTTTCTGTGACAAAACAAATTAGTGAAGCGAGCTTAACGATGAAAATTACAATTACTTGTGCTGTGTGAATAGGCTTTAAAGCATGAATACGGTTTCTTAAACATCGATATTTGACTAAAGTTGTTATTCTAAACAACATTTTTCACTATCTTATGCATCGACACAGACTATACATCAGATTTTAAGTCCAAAACCTGTTTAATCTCCCATTAAATTTCGGCAATTAAGATGATTTAGTGTAAACAAACTAAACTTAAAATAATTTCTATCTTAATATAATTATAATTGATTTTTTCTTTGATAACTTAAATGTGTTCCTCTTTGGTTATTTCTAATATTTGTTGCAGTAAATCATTTTTACGTTTTATTTCATTAGTTCGCTCTTTATATGCCTTCAGCTGTTTCCTCCGCATTTTTCTTTTCGCTTTTTCTGTTTTTCTAAGAAAGTCTTGTTTCTGTTTATTATATTTTCTCTGCTGTTGCAGGTACTTCTCTAACGCATTGAAGGATTTTGGTTTTGTGCCTCTCGACGGTGAACACTTCGGACTTGAAGTATTGGAATATATCTCTTCATCAACTGTAACATCGTTGGATGGTAGAACTTTATGTAAACAGAAAATATATATTAAATGATTTTTTGTAGTAACTATGATTTACTATTTTAATAACAAACTATTATTGTCGCTAAATTATTGCATTTTTTCGTGGTTTAACAATTTTGGAATTTTCCCAAAACGCTAAATGCTTACCATCTTCTTCAATTTCCTCTTCCAATGAATTTTTTATTTCATCTTTAATGGGTTCTTGTGTACACAAAACAAATTCTGGAAGTACGTTGCTGTTGGCTTTAAAGATTTCAATGAGGTCACTGAAAATACAATTGTAAATAAAATTCAAAGTTGTATAACCATTGGCAAGCATACTTACCCTTTATATGGGCGTTCATTACTAACTGGTCTTTTTGCTTTAATACGAGACTTAAAAGTTCTATATAAACTCTTCCACTTGCTCTCTACTTGCGTTGGAGTGAAGTTATAACCATGTTTTCGCATATCCTCCGCTATTTGAGCCCACATTTTTAGTTTAGTCTTAATGCGTATTGAATTGCCTAATTCTGGTTCGTATTTTTTGTAGAGATCAATTAACAATTTGGTTTGGCATTCTCGCCAACTTGCTTTTGCATCTCTCCTACCTTCAAAATTTAAGTTCGCAGCATCGTCTGGTAAAACTTGCTCCATAATGTTAGAATGCTCTGTATTAATTTTCCAATTTTTAATTCGCTATTAATTTATTTTAGAACAAAAAATAGTACCTTCTTCATGCAGTTCAATAAATATTTGTTGTGTGCAGACCTCCACCGCTTCATCTTCATCGGAGAATTCTGTCTTCATTTCAATAAATTCATTTATCATAATTTCTTTTTTTTTAGTTTTGATTACTTAACTACTTTTTATTTCGAAAATACTAATAAATTACTTAAAATATTCACGTAGTATCTGGATTTTACTCTATCTTAACATTTGGAGTAAAAAAGCGCAAATAGTGCAAACACAAATCAAAATCATATGATACTTTCACTCGCAATCATGTTTGAAGGAACAATTTGACAGTATTGAACTTACACACATTGTCAAGCAGAATTATTTTTTTTAAATATATTTACAATTTTAACTTTAATATATAATAAATAAAATAATAATATAAAAATAAAATATATATACGAAATTACTATATGAATGATGATATTTTTAATAAATAATATATAAAATATATTTATAAATATGTATTGATTTATATAGATATATTGAACTTAACTAAAGTAATTACAATATTAATAATTAAAATTAATTTATATTTACAACGAAAAAAAAGTAGAAAAACGTGCATTTAAATAGTTGCCTTTTCAGGTTCTTTCGTAAGTATTTAAAAAAATGTTTAAAACGAACTTATTAAAAATAAGAACTGTTTTAATGATAACTCTTACTTTCACATAGTAACTATTAAAAAAAAATAAAATTTCAAAGTTCACTACAAATAATTCAAAATGTAACTATTAGTGGTATTATTTTTATTTGCATTTAATTTGTCTTAATACAGTTAAAATATGAAATTTATTAAAGAATTATTTGAAAATTTGTTGTATTATTGGGATCGGATTCCTAAAGGAGTTACAGATTCCGCTATATATAAAAATTGTTTAAATCGTGTTAGTGTATAATTGTGAATATGTTAATTTTAATATTTACTTTTTTACTTTGACAAATAAGTTGAACAATAAATTATTTGGTTAGAGAATTCCTTCAGGACTCTTTATATAATCTGCAAAAGAATGGTTAAAATTGTTAGCAACAGATTAGGTTAATAAGCAAAAATCGAAAAATCATTTTTTAAATTAAGAAAATAATAAAATTTGTTATTATTATTAAAACGTTCTGTAGATTATTTATACTCTCAAAACTTACAAATAATGAACGATTGGAAGATTACCACTTAGCTTTTAAATAAAAAAAAAACTGAGTTATTGTAGTAGTATAATAATAGACTATCCTGAGAAATGATAGACTTGCAATTCTGTTTTCCTAAGGATTATCCTGTTTAATTCGACTTATGCGGCGTGATATCTGGTAAATAAGCCTTAGCTACTTATTCAGAGACCCCTCAAAATAATTTAA